AAAAAAAAAGGAGACACTCCACAGGGCCCTGGCCCCGCCCCTTTCCCACCCCGCCCCAACTCCACCCCTTCCCCACCCCAACTCCACCCATTCCCCAAAGTCCCAGCCCTAACTCCCCCTCCTCCCTCCCAGCCATGCGAAAAGGGCTGCCCCAGCGCTACCAACTTCATGGTTTGCCAGGCAGCCCCCAGACTCTGCGCCCCCGGCCGGCGCTTCCCCAGCACAGCTAGCGCCCGGGAGGGGAAGCGCCCAGCCGGGGGCGCAGAGTCTGGGGGCTGTCCGGCAAACCGTAAAGCCGGTAGTGCTCCGGCTTCGGGCAGCCCCCTTGCCTCCGGACCCTGCGCCGCTGGAGCAGAGCAGCTGGAGCCCGGGAGGGGAAGTGCCCGGCCGGTATTTTTCCTGGACATGTTCGGCTTTTTGGCAATTCCCCCCGGACGGGGGTTTGATTACCAAAAAGCCGGACATGTCTGGGAAAAACTGGACGTATGGTAACCCTAAACAACCAGAGAAAGATCTCTAACTAGTGCTATTGGCCCCCATGTGTTTGCAGAAATAAAATCCCTTCCCACCCCACCTAAAAATAAAACCTCAGCCAGTGACAAGTAGTTACTTTTCTTTAGATTAACTTCTTACAGGAGGATAAGGATAAGGCTCTCACTGCCCAGCTCTGGTTGAGATTTGATGGCCTGTGACTAGTTAAGGAAGAACTAGATACAACACCAATGGCTGTCTAGACCTATTTTATATTAGGTATTAAATATGCCATAGGACTGAAATCTCCCAAGATTTTAAACATTCTTATGCAAACTTCCAGGAGGGGAATTTTAGAGGATTTTAAAAGTAAATTAGTTTGCATTTCTCCTCTTGATAACTTGGTGCTTAGTAGAGTCACTTATGCTTTGGAACTGCATAGAATACAGACAATTCAAGGTACAGGTTTTTCTTTAATTAGCCGGCTTCTGTCTTGTCACAAGTGTAAAATCATGGGGGGTTCAGGGTCCCATAACTTTGATCCCACTGCTGTATAGATCACAGGCGAATAGTTTTCTACCATACTTAGGAAGGCATGAGAATTTTTGTCCCCAATATCCATGCAGCCCACTACAGCATCGCTAGGTCACAGTCTAGCAACGGAGTTTATGATCTCTTGTGAATGTTGCAACTTGGCAGGGAGGGTGTAGAAAGAGATGTGCCGCGCAAAAAAGTCAGAGTGCTTTGCCTCAGAAAGAGCTATGGTAAATGGCAGGAGACATGCAAAAGGTCATCTGCCTGAGGCAACAGGCTGTGTTAAGGATTTGTTCCTGTTTTATGAGCTTTTCTGCCATAAGGATCAACAGTGATTATTAAGGAGAAGATGTCACAGATTCCATGATTTACAGAGACCTCAGTGACAGTTTCTGCTTCATCTCCAGGGTGGCAGAGCAGGAGCTCTCTGCCACTACAAGTGGCAGGGGACCCCCGCAGCTCCCAGCGGCCGTCTCCAGAGCCCTGAGCCCCCGGAGGAGGCAGGGAGACCCCAGAGCCCCAACCCCCTTAGGGCAGCTGATGCTGGCTCCCCTCCTTCCATGCAGCAGGGCTCGGGCTCTCAACATCCCCTTCCCCCTCTCCCGGGCTTCAATTATCCCCCATCAGTCCCTCCCCCACCATTATTTTTACTAAGAAACCCAGGTAGGTTGTACTTTGCTTAGAAAATCGCTACAGTTAAGATTTTTGTCATGGCTATTTTTAGTAAAAGTCACAGACAGCTCATGGGCTTCAATGAATTTTTGTTTATTGCCCGTGACCCATCTGTGACTTACTAAAAATAGCCATGACAAAAATCTTAACCGTAGCGATTTTCTAAGCAAAATACAACCTACCTGGGTGGGAGGATGGCTGAAGCCAGTGGTAAACAAGAATTCCAAATTGTTAAATACATTCTGTTAACAGAATAGTTTTGGTAGAATGTGATGTTGCAGCTGGCTTCTTAAGGCTCCCTCCTATTGACATTTATTCACATGCTCCCCATCATTAGAGGGACACTGTCAGCTTGAAATAGTTCATTTAAAAAAAAAAAGTTTCAAGATCACTACACCCACCCAGTTCCCCAGACTGCCTGCGTTCCTGGTTAATATTTTTCTCCGCAGCACCCACACAAGCAAGACCAGAAAAAAAAAACACCACACTGACTATACAGGGAGAACAATGAAACTGACTATTCAGAGATACAAAGAAAGAATCCCCCTCTCCCACTCAAATCTTAAATGTTACTTGTACTGCTAGTCTGTACAGCATCTCAACCCTAATTTAAAATTTTTGTCCCTGTACGCTTAGTTTTGAAGAATACAAATTAGACACTTGCTTCTTTTATCTGGAAATATCTATTCTGTCTATTACTGAACAGTGATCTAAACCTAGTATTGATTTCAGATTCATCTGTGTGCAATAAAGACATTTTCACAAGCATTTTGACTAACATAGTTCCATTTTACATAACAATAAGATTTGCGAAGTGACTATTCTATATAGAAATTGCTGTGTCTATAAAGTAGCACCCATCTGCAGTGCTGCATTAGCCAGGGATCTGTACAAGAGTCTTAAAATAATGCCTTTTAATAGCCTAAGCCAGAAAATACACAAGCTTTTAAGACCAAGACTTATTCTTTCTTAAGCGGGTTTGGGGGAAAAAGGGAAAAAAAAAAAAAAAAAAAAAAAAAAAAAAACTTTCCTTCAGTTTCCCTTCCTTGCACAAAAAAAGCTGCTATGCATTTTTGGTACCTAACTGCTATTGCTTTGCAATTGAGGGGAGAAAAACCACACAAAAAAACTGAAAGTGAAGAATTTGATCTTGGGAAAGTCACTTCACCTTTCTCTGCCTCAGTTTCCCTTTTCAGCTGTCTCATCTATTTAGACTGTAAGTTGTTAGTATATGTCCAGCACCTAGCACAGTGGGGCCCTGATCTCAGTTCTGGCCTCTAGGTGTGATACAAATGAAAAATAATATAAAGAGAATTGCATGTTTGCAATGGACTTCTTAAATATTTGTTAGAAACCAGCAGTTGTGGTTTCTACAACATAAACCCAACCACAAATAAATGGCTTTTCAGCTTCCTGATATTAAGATACTCCCCCCTCAAACCATCCTGACTCCCATTAAAATCAAGGGGTACTTGGCACATACCAGTAATAGACCCTTAGGGCCTGATTCTGCTCCCATGGACGTCAATTGAGATTTTGCCGCTGATTCAGTGGTTAAAAAAAAAAAAAAGTGGGGGGGAAAACAAGGAGATTAGGTCAGCCTCTCCCCAACAGCCACTGGATTAGACTATAATCCTGACCATCCAAAAATTCATTTCACTAGTATGTAGTGTCATTTAACCTTTTTTTTTTTTTTAAACTCTGCCATGCATTGCTTCTGGCAATACATCAGGGCTTGTCTACACTTACGGTGCCACTGCGCCACTTAGTGAAGACACTACCTATGCTGATGAGAGCTTCTCTCTTCGGCATGGGTACTCCACCTCCCCGAAAGGCAGTAGCCACATCCACAGGAGAAGCCCTCCTGTCGACAAAGCACTGTCTACACCAGGAGTTAGGCATGGCTCAGGGGTATGGGTTTTCCATACCCCTGAGTGCCGTAGTTATACCGACAGAAGTTTGCAGTGTAGACCAGGGCTCAGTTAAGTTTTCCCCACATCCAGATAAGAGAAAAAAGTAGTCTCAACACAGCTTTAGAATAGTGAGATGAATACATGAATACCACTTAGCTTTCCTGCATCATTTTCCTCATGTAGGCAAGCACCCACTTCACTTGTATCTTCGCCTTGTTGCATTAGGCTCGCTCAGCCCTCCACCCCTATGGCTAACGCTATTGCACTGAATCATAGACCTGTTTTGAGCAAGTTCAGAAGACAGCGTATTTAAAACCCCAACCGCCACTTATCTATACTAACACTTGCAGTGATGCTGCCTCTCCTGGGTGGGAAATTTTTCAATACCAAAAAAAATTATAATAAAAAAAACATGCACGCTGTTCAACACAGCCTTTGAGAGACAGGGAAGCACTCAGGATTTTTGGATACAAAAGGGCTCTATAAACATCATTACGCAAGCAGAATACAGAGCACCTGAGCTGGTCTTCCTTCCTATGGTAGCTGCATTTTAATAGCTACATTTCTTAATTCCCCCACCCCAGCTCATTAGGGATAATGAAACAAAATCATAAACGGAGCCTCCTACTAGACAGGAGGGGGAAAAAAATGTTTGCAAAGGGTAGCCAGGCGCTTGGCTTTGGAGAGTCACAGCCTAAGAGGTGGTGCTTAAATAAACTTGGGCTAGTTTCCTATGAAACCTGCCTGGGGTGGAGCAAAGGCAAAGCTCTCCGCGCTGAATGTCCAAGGCAGGGGAGAACTACAGGCGCTCTCGACCCCCCCCCCCCCTATATATAGGTTAGTGGGTCAATCTCACAACAAGCCATAGTCTATTCTCTGCAGTTCTACACACGGGAGGAGGCACATCGCCCCCTGGCCGGGGCGTTAGTCAGTGTTGGGTATAACGAAGCCACTTGATACCACCTCTTACCTCCACGGGCTCCCAAAGCACCTGGGTCAGCGACACCTTAACGCCCAAGCGAGGAGGCGGTGGGGGAAGAGGAAGCAGATTCAGAGGAAAGGGAGGGAGGTTTTCAGCTGAGATTCGGGATGAGATCGGAGGGGTGGCGAGATAGGGACACAGGGAGGCTGATGGACACACGGGGACCTTTATGCGCACAGCCCTGCGGGAGCCCCAGAGCAGAGCCGCTCACTATCCCGTCTTGCTAGCTACAGACAGCGCCGAGCACCCAGCTGGGACCTGCCAGCGCCGGGGCCCCCCAGCCGCTCTGTCCCGCTGGGATACGAGAGAGCCCGTCCCTCCCCGCAGCCCGGCCACGCTCCTGCCCCGGCCAGCGCCCGCACTCACCTGGCCGGCCCAGCCCGCTCCGTCCGCCAGCGCCGGGAGCCGAGCAGGTGCAGGTGCCCCGCGCTGGTTGGGGAGCCCTCCCAGCTGCCGTGACTCCCGCTCGGGCAGGGACACCCACACCCAGCCCAGCAGCCAGCCACGGAACTCATGCGCACTGGCCCGGCCCACGCCCCCCTCCGCCCCAGCTGGCGTTAAAGGGACAGTTCTCTGCCCGGGCCGGGCTCTGGGGCAGGCCGGCTGGGGTGGAGTCCTCCCCCTTCCCCTTCGCTCCCCAGGTATTCGTGTGGCCAAGCCTTTCCCAGGCGCGCTGGGCAGTGGCTCTCCACCTTTCCAGACTAATTTACCCCTTTGAGGCATCTGATTTGTCTTCCCTACCCCCACGTTTCACCTCACTTAAAAACGACTTGTTACACAAGCTGAGGTAAAAATAGGAAAGTGTGTGTCCCAGCAGCACTGAACAATTGCTGACTTTCTCATTTTAACCATATCATTATCATATAAATCATGTGGAATATAAAGATTGTACTTACATTTCCGTGTGTAGTAGTTAGAGCAGGATAAACCAGTCGTTGTCTGTATGAAATTTTAGTTTGTACTGACTTCGCTAGTGGGTTTTTTGTAGCCTGTTATAAAACTAGGCAAATCACTAGATGAGTTGATGTACCCCCTGGAAGACCTCTGAGTACCCCCAGGGTTCGCGTACCCCTGGTTGAGAACCACTGAGGTGAAGAATAGGATCGGTATTGCAGCAATGCTCACTCCGCAATACAGTAACACCCTGGTAAGCAGAGAGCCCCGATGACTGGCTTGTGGTGTAATGTCTCTTTAAACACAAGCGCTCTGTTGCACAGCTGGTTTTGTTTCTGATACTGACCTGGCAGAGATTTGTAAACCTGTTAAAACATCCCAAACAAATACATAAACGGGGGTGGGGAGGAAGGGATGTGCGTAATAGCTTGCGGTGCATCAGAGTGAGAGTTCGCCAGCTCTCAAGGCTCATCTTGGACTTATTGGTTTAAAGTTTTTAAAGCAAGGATCATGTGCGGATCAAAAATGCTGCATGGCACCTTCGAACCCAGGGACTCAAAGCACTTTACAAACCAAGGCCACAACCCAACAAACACTTCAAGCATGCGCCTAACTTTACTCTGGGGGACAGCCCCACTCCCATTGGTGTAAAAAATGCATGAACCCTTACAACAACCCTGTGACCAAGGGAGGTAAGTATCTTTATTATGTAGATGGGGAAATGTGAGCCCAGAGCTGCTAAGGCCCAGATCCTCAAAGGTAGTTAGATGCCTAGGTCTAGATGACACTCTAGTTAAAAAGCCAGCACATTAGCAATATTGCCAACCAAAATCATGAGTCAGGCCTCAAAAAAATCATGAAATTGGGTTAAAACTCTTGATAGTGTTAAAACAATTAATACATTTGGGGTTCTTTTTATTCTCCTGGTTTTTAAACCTATAGAGATCACGTCGTCAAGCTTTTGTCTGCAATCATGAGGGCTAGAAACTTCTTTTTTTTTAATGAAAGCTAAGAGTCTCACATAATCACATGACTCCAGGAGCTTGGGCCTTAAGGAGTCTCACAACTAGCAAGAGACGCACAGTAAAATCACAGGAGGTGGCAACACTGCCATAGCCTACTCTAGAGGTCCTGCTGTTTTTCTACCTCTTGAAGAACTGCACTGGTGAAAAATTTTAAGGAAAAAAACACCACCACAATGTCAGAGCTAGGAAAACTAGTGTCAGAGCTGGCAGTCTTGACTTTGTTTCCAAATCTTTCTCTTCTAGGGCTTATGCCTGAATGAGGAAAAGAAAGCTGTTCTGTCTCCCACACCTTATCTCCATTGTGTGTTTTATTAAACAGTGCCTCCATCTCAATGACAAATACAATTATCTGTTTGAAGATAATGTTACTGAAACACAGCTGAGAGGTTTTTTCCAATGCTAAATCCTGGTGTTTGCCCGGTCTTGCCTTTTTGAAATGGTTTGCTGCAGTTCTTAACTTAGCCCTGATTTCTAGTACAGAAAGTGGAGTTGTTATTATTTACGACGTATGATTTTAGCACTTGGAGATCAGGACTAGAACTCAATGAAATTTTTAGGTTGAAACTTTTTTCTGCCAAAAAATGCAGATTTGGGTCAACCAAAACCTGTTGTGAATTTGTGTTGGAATTTGCAGAGTTGAGTCCATTGGGAGGGGTGGGGGGAGAAAACAAAAAAATCTAAACTTTTAAAAAATATATTTTCAAAACAAAATATTTTGTTTTTTTATTCGAAACAACTTTTCAGTTCGAATTTTACCTCAGCTTGTTTTTTTTAAAAAGGTTAAAATAACTCAGACAAAGTGAAATGTTTCTGATTGACTCATTTTTTTCAACTTGTTAAGTTTGCAGAAAAATTTTTGCTTGGGTCGACCCAAAACATTTCCACACACACACACCCCTCCTCATTTGGTCAGTGAAGAGTTATTCACACAGCTCTAACCGGAACTCTATTGTGCTAGGCACGGCACATACATATAGTAAGTACGTGCAATCTCAGTAAGAGTTTATAATTGTAAAACTCTAACAAACTTCAGTGGGACTCTGGTGGAGGAACTACGGGTGTGGGGGTGCTGCAGCAGGAACCCCTGGCTTGAAGTGGTTTCCATTATATACAGGGTTTACCGTTTGGTTCAATGGCTCTTTCTCAGCACCCCCACTATAAAAATTGTTCCAGCCCCTCTGACTCTGGGTGGACAAAGGGATCTGCTCACATAGAGCACCTTCCAGGATTGGGACCTTAACTGTGATGTAGCCAAGCAGCTTGTGTCTGCGGTCACACGCATGTGCATGCATGTTACTGCTCCACCTCCTGTCGCCGTGCATACAAGCAGTGTAACAAACATTTCAAAAATAGCCATAGCACTTTTGTTCAAATACCACGGTGATGGGTGCGATCTAAGATCATAAACTGGGTAGAACAGAAACAGGATCTATTATAAAGCCCCATATATAGGGGTTACCGTCCCTCCAGGATTGTCCTGGAGTTTCCAGGAATTAAAGATTAATCTTTAAAGCTTATGCCATGTGATGAAACCTCCAGGAACACGTCCAACCAAAATTGGCAACCCCACCCATACAAAATTAATAAAAGTATTGTGATAATCCAAGTACAGTATCTCGGAAGTATTTATTTATACCACATTTAGGGTGACCAGATAGCAAGTATGAAAAAATCAGGACAGAGTGTGGGGAGTAATAGTCATCTATATAAGAAAAATCCCCAAATATTGGGACTGCCCCTGTAAAATCAGGACACGTGGTCACCCTAACCACATTTGTGGTCATGCCAGTCATCACATTATTTTATTTTATTTTCCAAACCACACGGTAAAGATTTCAAACCATTATCTAAACTGGACTTTATACTGTGCTTATGGAAATTAGTACTCTCCACCCATAGCCATGACACAATTATTCTCTGTCGTGCTTCACAAAGAAGCAGAAAGAGACTTGGGAAAAATGGGCTAATCTCATATCAAATAAATGGGATACCTAAAACATATGGTTGGGTGGGGTGCTATGCAATTTATATCACCAATGTTTGGAGAGTCATGTGAGCTTTGGCCACTCCTGAGTAAAATGATCACCCACACTTCTGGCTATAAAAATGACTAGCGCACCCCACCCCATCACATGTTTAGAATTTTATATAGGAGCAGGAGCCGTTTTAGTGGGAAGAGCAAGCAAGATGTTGGGATTCTGGACTCCCATACTCTATTTCTAGCTCTGGCTGCCAATAACTTACTACTGTACGTGGTCATAGGCCAGTGTCAATCCCACATGCCAATTATTAAACAATTATGATTAAATGTGAAATCATTATTCCATTATTTAAATGATTAACTTCTAATGAATTATTCATTGGTACAGGACAGAGGTGCCTCTGTCTCTCGTTATATAAAATGGGAATGATGCCCACCTCACATGCTTTCCTGAATCAGGGCCATAAGACAGTATTTGTAAAATGTTTTTATGAAAGACATTAGATAACTGTAAAGTATCATTATTTACTTGTAAGCAAATATTAACTGCATGCTTCATGCAGCAGCCACTAAGAGTTGGTGCTTTTATTCCTAGCTTTTCCCTTTCAGTGGGTGATCACAGTGAGGGAAACCAGCTGCTTTCCAGACCTTTGTCAGTCCCGTAGCTGTATACAGAGTCTTTGTATTGAATGATTTATACCATGCATTTGATGGTGTTGATGTCTTATACAACAAAACCTAGGAAGCCATACAGAAAAACTGGTTCTATCTACGTGTTTTCTCTCCCCACCATAGGTCATCTGGAAGGGTGTTTTTAAATTATTTGTATTTACTTTCACTTTTTTCCTCATTTTTCTACATAATCTGTTAGCTTAATTGCTATATCCAAGGGGCGGACAGTGTTCTGGGAAAGCACTTGCAAGGGGATGTGTCCTACATTCAATACTGAAGGTGGTGAAATTCATGGTGTATAGTTCCAGCCTATCACCTGTACATTATATGCAGTAGAGAGCTCCCTCACACAGCACTCCACTAACTTGTTACACCTGTTTGAAAAAAATGTGAAGCATGCACCTCCTTCCTGTGCCACTGCTTACTGATAAGCATGTGGTATTGACATTTCTGGTCATTGCTCAACAAGCCATTACAGGATTTTGTGTGTGTTTTTGCTTGCTTGATTTCTGTCTAATAAAAAGCATAACAACAACAAAACATACCTGATGATAGCGTCAGAACAATTATATCCGCTTGGCGCCCAATCCTGCATCTCCTATATGAATTTTGCCTGTACCAGGACTGCAGGGCTGGGCTTATATCTGTGAGCCCACATTGGGCGGGAGGTCATGTATCTGACAGACCAAAAATCCACCTCCATCCCACTCAGTGTTGTTAGTCTGCTTTTACTGTGACAAATGCCTGAGTCTACAAGTAGTGAATTGGGAAATTTAGGGTCAAAGAGAACCTAATTTGTGCTCCAACATTCCATCCCACACTATTTTAAACTTCCTGAACTACTAGCTTTCATTTTTGGGTCTTTTTCTCCATATTTGGGCTGGTCTGGTCTGGTTGAGTGGGTGGTATTGAGCAATTGGAAAGAAATAATAAAATGAAGGGTAGTTATTATTTATTATTACTCACTTTTATTGTGGTAGCCTCTAGGGAGCCTGATCAAAGACTGGATCCCCATTGT